TTCACTATATAAATAATGGGATTACTAGATATATCTCTCAATATAGGAATTAGAGGTATGCACTCAAATATCTCACCCTTTAATGGGATAGCTTACAATATTTTTGTCTCACAAGGAGGATATCTCTCTTTCTTTCTCTCGATTGGAGCAAATCTACCTTAGAGGTCCTTCTTCTTCTTGTTTGACTTAATTTGGCAGAATATTCAATCGATACCTTCATAACAATATTCAAACTTTCTGGGCGGGACTGCCTTGGTCATCATGTCGACTAGTTCTGGTCGATATGGACTTTGTCGAGTTGCCGGTGTTTTCTTCTATCACATCTCGGATAAAATGATACCAAACATCCATGTGTCTTGATCTTAAGCTATAGGTTAAATTCTTCGCTAAGTGCATAACATTTAGCTTATCACACTTGACCATGTACTTTGCTTATTTGTGGCCGAACTTGAGTAGAAAATTCTTCACCCACAAGACTTCTTTGTAAGCTTATGTCGCAGTAATGCACTTAACCTCGGTGGTGGACATGGCAATGCGCTTATGGATTTTGGACTGCCATGATATAACTTCCCAAACAAAAATAGTTAGGTAACCCGAAGTCAACTTCCTCGAGTTAGCATCAATACCTAGGTCGATATCTCAGTAAGCTTCCAACTTGGGTTTTCCTATTCTAAAGGACAAACATCTATTGATCGTATCTTAGAGATATCTAAATATCCATTTGACCAAAGGTTTATTTTGCCTTAGTCAATTCGTCTTATTCTTGTATCAGTGACTCATCATTTCCATCACCAAAATTCTCATTGTCAACTTTAGTTGACTCTTCCTCTTCTTGGACATTGGATGATAAATGGGTTCAATACGAGAGATGAAAGTTCAAATGGGAGTCACTTGTCACACAAGCAACTTACTCATAAGGATGAAAAACAAAGTTTTCAATCTTGTTCTTTGTTACGGAACCTGTAACACCTTACAGTCCTCATGAGTTGCCGTAGGATCAGCTTAGTGAAAAACAAGTAAGGGTTTTAGTTCGCATACTTGATCACTTGAAGACTCCAAGGGTATGGTGTCCTCTAACTTTGATCCACACGATTGTCCCATAATAGCGTACGAGATCTCTTTATCCTTGATTCCTCCTTCCTTGGCAGCTTCCCAGGAGAATACAAGGTAGAAGGCTATCAAGTGTTTGGGTTAATTTTCTTCAAGACTACGATTATGTCTTACGGTTAAGTGTGGGGCGCAACAATGGAGGAATGAGAAGATGATGCAGTACTGACCAAGACTTAGGGTTTCATGAAGCCAGTCAAGTGGGAAGCATATGTCATGGAAGAGCATCATAAAAGTGGCACCTAAGTTGCCCACTTTAATTATGATTTGTTCCTAATTTTGAATTCCATTTAACAGCTTCATCTAATAGGATTTTCTGAATCCTCATATATTTGATCATATCATGTAGTTGGAGAACTGTTCTCCACATTTAAAGTCAAAATTCAAATGACCAACTTAAGGTGCTTCATGAATTTCGAAATTCAAATGGTTTCTACAACCATTTTGAATTTCATCCCAATCATGAAACATATTTGAATTCGAAATTCAAACATTCATGGAGCCTTTCATGAAATTAAAATTTTCAAATGGGTTCTAGAAGATCCCATTTGAAAATTCGCCCAAATCCTTTTCCTATCCTTGTTATTGCTTCAACAACTTTATTTGAATCATAATTCAAATAATTGAGTTGTTTCATGAAGCCTTATCCAATTCTTATTGGATAGCTTTGTATAATTCAAAATTATCCTTATCCACTTAACCTCTTGAATTCAAATTTAAACTTAAACTCAAATTTAAACTTAAATTAAAATTTATTCTTATCCTAGTTCATAATTTTGATTTTGAATTCAAAATTCAAAATCTAATTCAGATTTGTGCCAAAACTCATGTTAACCTAGTCAACTTCTTGATTTACTAGGATTCATGGCCTAAGTTCTATTAGGCCTTCTAACACATTTGGGCCTATTAGTGGAGAAACCAATTTCATCACTAAAACCCAATTAGGGTACATGGTGTGTTGGGCCTGGAGTCTCACTCCAATCCAATTTCACTCATAGTCTTGACAAAGCTCAATAACACATTATTGGCCCAAACTTGTTATAACACGCCATTAAGAACAATATTAGTTGTGACTCATCAAGCCCAATTAGTCACTAACATAGATAAACTTGGACCAATTAAACTTTTTTAATAGGCCTAATTTATCTAATAACCACGTAAGACACTAGCAATGTTCTGCGGCCCCAGAACTAATTAAGTTGATCAAGTTATCTACCTTTTTGATTTGGATACCGTGTCAGCATCATCCTTCATATCGTTGTTCACATTTAGTCGAGAGCAAGAAAAGAGTATCATCTATCTTTTGTGACTAAATGTAGCTCTTCACAAAACTAAGAATCTTCTTCTAATGACTCTAATGTGGATCCATGACTCCTTATGATCCCTTACTGTGCACAGATTCCTGACCCTAATAGAAGTCATCCAAGCCATACCAGTCTTGTGAATGACTAATCTCTTGTACAGGATTATGAGTCCTATGTCCATCTATATTCATGTATTCAAGTTATACCCAAGAGTATAATGTTCTCTCCATTTTCAGGTGGATAGAGTTGTACAGTCAAAGTATAACCTAAGACATAGTGTTCAATGACATCCTCAAGTCTAAGACGATCCGCACTCCCAAACAATGAGAAACATTATAAATCCAATGATATTCTCTACAATGAATCATAATAGAGTCTCTTGGCGGGTTAGTTAAGTGCCATTTGTTCTCTAATAAATTCACTCACAACATCAGCTAAGGCATCACCTTGCTTGCATTCTATGAGATCTCTACCTTGCATGTCTGCTTGAGGACAAGCAGATGCTAAGTTTGGGGTGTTTTGTTAGGTGTAAAATTTGCATTGCTTAACACCTATATTTTAATTCTTGTTGGGTTGTTAATGACTTAATTTGCAGGTGATATGGGCCCAAAATAGCGAGAAATTGGCCCAAGTATCTGACTGAGTGAATGGCAATTTTATCATTTCCACTCACATTTTACCATATTCTTTCAGGAAGTGAAAGCACATGAGCAATTGCTAAAGTTTGAAGGACTCTGGACCGTTAGATGAAGAAAAATAGTGAAAAGGAAGCAGTGATCAGAAGCTTAGATTTAGTTTTAGTGCTCAGCTAGAAACTTGAGTTTTTAAGTCATAGTCAGTTTCTTTTAGTTTTTCAATTTTAGAAGTTTCAGTTTTTAGGTTGAGTTGAAAAGTTTCTTCTTAGTAAGAAAACGTGCAGAGAAGAGGTTCTTGGAAGAACACCCTAGAAACTTCAGCATTCGATTTCCAATTTGTGAATTCAGTTGTCTATTGTCAAGCTCTTCAATAAAATTCTTTTCTGGGATTCTGGATGGACTGATGAGTACCCATTAATTGTAATTACCTGTTAGGCATGTTCTTGATTTTCAATTAGCAAAATCTTATTGTTTAAGGGCTATGGGAATAGTTATTGAACCCTTTCTTCATGACCCTTTGATTAAGAAATTGAGGTACATGACTGTTGTTAATTGATTGCTTCAAGATAAGAATGATTTGAAGCGGAATTTGAGATTTTTAATTGAATAAATCATATTTAAACTTAGGGGATTGGTTTGAACTGATTTAAGTCTGGGTTTAGCAAAACTCAGAAAAGCGCTACAACGCTCAACTTTCATCAGGAAAATGCTATAGCGGATAAAATGCAGGATGTGAAATTCAAAATGAAAAATCATGAAATTCAAGATTCCATTGCTTAATTTCTATTTGTTAATTGTTGTATACATATTAGAGTTACTTTTGTTTAGTCAAATCTAATTTACACTTGTAGTGATTAAATTTGAATTGAAAAATTTTAAATTTCAAGAAACTAAGATAGAAATTAATAAAAAGAGGTTAAATTTACTGTTCTTTGTGAACGATTCTTATCTTTGGATACATATATTACAGTTGTTATTGTTAGTACAAGTCAAAAGCAAATTTAAAATTCTGGAAATTTCCAACCTAACATTTGATCTAATGCCTAATACAACTAATTTATGGGCAAATATATGACACCTCCTAGTGAAATCCGCAACCAAGCATACTTTTTCCGAACTATTGTTTATTATTTCAAGTTTTCAACTCATTCAGTCTTTCTCTCTGCATCTTAAACTAGTAGAACGTTTTTTTGGATATTATAAACTAGTAGAACGTTGGTAACCCACCTTAATATATAGATGGAGTAGGGAACAAGAAAAGGAAAAGCCTTAAAATCAATAAAAATTATACATGTATTGCACTAAATCAAATATTGTGTAAATATCAACTAAATTGCTAATATATACATACGTGGATTGGATCAATGTACTCTAGGAGTAAATCTCTAACACTTATTCCGTTAAATAATTTTTTATAAACATTAAATTCATATTCAACAAATAACTATTTAATGATATTAGTGTATATAAATCCATTATATATATATATGGGTTAGGGTTTTATATATAGAGAGAGAGACTCACTCTCGTTTCATTTATTTTTTATTGACTTGTATCCTTATAAGAGCAGGGTGCTCAAAGCAAAAAGCAACCTGTTATTATGCAGTCTATAGTTAAAATGAAATTCGATAATCCTAAATTCCTAATCCATTATCCAACACAATGATCTTTCTTTCCATCAATCAGCTAATCACTAGAGCAGCCATGCATGATTGACTGATTACATTCAGAAACTCGATTTCAAACCCCAGAAAAGCTCAACCTCCAAACTAACCATTAACCTTAAAAATTATAGAAATATGATACGAGACTCCGCGTACGTAAACAAAACAAATAAAAATACATCACTATGGTTCTGTACATTTCTAAGCATTCTGTTACATCCAACATAAAATATTTGATATACTGAGAAATACTAAAAACATATCATTTGACATTTTTTTAACATCTTTTTTATTATCAAATAAAATTGTATTCAATTCTTGTTAAATAATTTAAGTCACCCAATAATAAAAAATTATTAATAAAACATCAAAGAATGCTAGTAGCATTTCTCAGTCATAATTTTTTATTTTATTTCTCTAAAGTGTGATTGGATATTTAATATTTATTAACTAACTAATAACTACCACCAACTACTATCATTAAACTTCTCAACTTTTCACAAACACTTGTCCTTTGTACCATTAATTTTCTTTCAACTTGCCTGCTCGACGATCACGACGACGTTGCCTCGTCGGTCGGACCCATTTTCCGACGAGCTTGCTCCGGCGACCCTTCCATCATTATTCTTGAGCAGCGAATTGCGACAATTGGGGCACGAAGAATGCGACAACAGCCACGTGTCAATGCAACTCACATGGAACCCGTGATTGCACTTTGGCAGCATTCGAACCTTGTCCCCTTTCTCGAACTCCCCGAGGCAGATGGGGCACTCCGTCGCCGGAATATTCTCGCCAGAGCCGTACACCGCCACCGGAATCTGTCTCAGCTCGCGTTTCTTGAGCCCCGTTTTGGCGAGCCTCGCGGCGGTTTGTTCTGATGTCGCGTCTGAGAAATTTCTGCTACAACGAAGAGCACAACGCGCCATGGAGTTCAACCCGAGAGCGCATATCAATGCGCACAAGAGTGCTGCCAATACGATCACCATGTTGGTGTCAAAGTTCGCGTCGTTGATGAACGAATAATCGTGGGTTTTGTTCTCATAAGATGGTGGCATGCTAAGCTCGGTCTCAAGAAGACGGCGTTGCATGGTTCTTAATAAAAGTTGTGTCTTTTTTTTGGGGAAAGTTTGAAGCTTTAAGCTGAGATACTTGATGGGGTTTTGTTGGTGTAAGGGAATTTTGTTGGGGTGTTTTGAGTTTGAAGCTAGGGTGGTTGGATTTTGATGGGGCGTTGAATGGTTAAATATAAAAATTGTGTCTTTTTTTTTTTATTTGTGCGGAAATTTTGAAGCTTTAAGCTAAGATTCTTGATGGGTTTTTGTTGGTGTAGGGGAATTTTTGATGGGGTGTTTATTTTTTCTTGGGTTGAAGCTGATTTTTTGAGTTACTGTACTCTGGAGTGTTCTGAAGATTCCGAGTAATAAAAGGCACAGATAAAGGAGAAAGGCATCTAATTTTTTTATATTTTTTTGTGTTTTTTGTTTTGGGGGGTGAATTGGATAAGGAAAATGAAAGGTTGAAATTTGGTCCCGGGGTTGCTGTTATCTAAATTGGGGACCGTTCAGTTTCTTGATTCCCAGCTTAATTTTTCCTCAGAAATGGTCCTCTTTGGTTAATGAAACAAAAATTGAGCAATGCTGCAAACAAGGAGTGAGATTGGAGAACATGAAAATCTGAAAACTATCAAAGGTTTAAAATTAATGCTATTCTGCATAGTCACAGGAGAGGTGGCCTTATGAGAATGGTTTATTATTCACGAGATAGAGGTGTGAGATCTGTGGTGTATAAAGTCTAGAAGGGCAATTTATAACAAGTTGGGGTTGTTGAAGTTGTTGGTTGACCTTATAAAGGGATGAAGTTCAAGCCTGGTCAATTCTCAGAGACAAAAATTGAAGATGCAGGGATGGTTCTATATACCTAATTATAATTAAAATTTATATAGAATATTAATCAGGTTGGTACCAAATCCCTTTGATTTTACGGTTATACTAAGGTGTGGCAACTAGAGCTAGGTATGGACCAATGCAAAATGACCTAGTCCTCCTTATGTGAGTGTAACTTCCAGTATCAAGAAGTAGTGGAAATTTCGTTGCCACTGTCTCATTTGGCCGTGCTTTACTTTTGACATCAGATTTGGCAGATAAGAATCAAAGGTACAAAAGAAAACCGAGAAAAAGAAAAGCACAACCTTCAAAATATCTCTATACCTTCCCTTTTTCACCACTTCACAGCCCGCAATAGGTAGCTGATATCATGTATAGCAAACTGATATTTTGTGGCACCTTTTGATGTCGATTTCTGAAGGGACTATTCAGTAAATAGATATTTTCTCTCCTAGAAAAAGAACAGGAAGTTTTTACGGATCCATCATCAAACCATGAAAACGCTCGGATGATGGATCCTCAAATTGGGAGGAAAAGTAGTAGTATGTAATTAGAGGCCATTTTATTTTGGTTTATCCATTTTTTTTGGGTACAATTTGGGAGAGTATTTCTATTCAACCTCGTCCGGTCACATTGTCCTCGAAATATGGCGGTTTGAATTCCTGACCCAAACAAACCTTTAAGAGCTCAGTTGCCAACTAAGTTACTTTTGGGGGTTGGTTTATCCATTTTCGTATTTGAAGTTAGAAAAATTATACTTACATTGCATGCTATTCATCTCTAATTTACACTCACATAAAAAGACTCACATAAAAAGATGTGTCTTTTTTTTTTTTTTAATTTGTTTGTCTCATAATATCAAATAAATTGTCTCCTACTACACGAGAGAAATAAATCCTTTGAATTAACCAATTTTAAAGATAGTTCCAAGAATTAGAGAAGAGATTGATCCGGGATCACTAATTCAAAAAGACAACAACAATAAAAACCAATTTTAGTCTGAATAATCGCATTTTCGTCCAGTTTATTACTTATAATCAAATGAATTGATTGAATTTGATAAATAATCAGACCGACCAAATAATTGGTATCCAATCCACTTCGATAAATATTCTGGTTCAACTTGCTAGATAAATCCAATTTTTATAATTATATGTATGGATGTTTTTTTTCTTTCTACAATAACAGAACTTTAAACTCACGAACTTTTGTAAAATATTTAAATATTTATCAGAGTAACCAACTCCTAATTAATTTTGTAGTATTCACTATTCAGAAATCAGAGGCAAATTATGGAGTTGGTATTAGTTAGTACGTAGCGTCATGCTAATGATTTGATAGTGTCATGGAAGAGCAGGTGCAAACGACCTAATTATACTTTGGTATGTCTGATCAGGTCTTATGTCACTTGTGTTGCCCCTCGAAGTCTCAAACTATCAAACGTCTGTTCTACTAAAGCTAATTCAAATTGTACTAAAAAAAAAGAGCTAATTCAAAACTATCAAATCTAAGTTCTTCTAAAGCTAATTCTTTTTTTTTTTCAATAATTTCTAAAGCTAATTCTAAACACCCACGAATTGGTTGGTTTAATAGTGTTCGAGCTAGATTCTAAATTTGAGATGCCAAAATAATGGTGGGTTCAATTTTTGAGAAAGAAAATTTTTGAAAAAATAAAAATTCTCAAACTCAAAATCGGGTTTATTTTGGTTACGGACACGCGTTGATATTTTTAAAAAATAACTAATTCCAAACCACTCCTCTATGATCATCAGTTCCCTAATCTATAGGGATACTATAGCATATGGCCAATTTTTTGGATCAAGCATATGCACTTTACACGTCTGTGCTTTATTTGAGAAGATGGTGCCCGTTAGATATAACTAAAGCAACTTTCGAGCTTTATGTAACTTAAATGCAGTCAGTGGAATACACAACTTTTAAGCAAATTACGTGAGCTAACTAAATTACATTATACATCAAAACTAGTTTTCTTTTGTTATTTTTTATCTTGAAAGTTTACGAATACTAGTTTCAAACCTTTTTAGTTAATGACAAACAACATCTCATTGTTTAAGGTTGAGCATGGTTAGCTTATATATATATATATATATATATATATATATATATATAATATTTCTCGTAGGAGATAAAATTATTTTCTACGTACACATAAAAATATGTGGAGTTCATGTGAAAAGAAAAGAGAAAAAAAGAAAACACGAATTCCACATATTTTCTTATGTATTTGTAAGAGATAAAATTATCTCCTACAACTTGAGAAATATTAATTCCTAAAAAAATATGAATATTATGGTATTGTTAAAAAATATGAATTGAAAATTGCCTATGATTAATCAATATTTTTTGAGATTATCCAGTTATGGAGAATTTGAAATATAATAATCTTGGATTGTATTTTTCATATAAAAAAATTAAGGAATTAATGAAGACAGATAAACATTTATAAATCATCACACTTATCATTAATTACATTTTCAAATTATATTTGTAAGATCGGAATGCGTTAGAAATTACTTACTAAAAAATGTATTAGAAATTTCTCACACTTTCTTGAAATTAACGGTTGTTATTTATTGTTAATTAATAATTAATTAATAAATTTGATTTGTGAAAATTTTAACCGTTGATTGATGAAAATCAACGATTAAGATATAGTTACAAGAAGTTATAAATGAAAATAGGTTGTAATTATAACTTTCCCCGTAAACTAATAATAGCATCATTGAAAACTGAGTAATAGCCCACTTGTTATTATTGGTCAATAACTCGCTAAATAAAATAGTAAATTTGTCTTGGGTTGTTTACACAACAAGTGCTTATTATATTTACCAAAAAAAATGTGCTTACTGTGAGTAGTACAAACCTTAATAAAATAATTGCTTTTTATAACTATTATATTTTCTTTTGGTTATTATATATGTTATGAAGAGTGATTATTCAAAATATTTAAAATTAAAAATATGTCAAATCAAACGTTAAAGTATTATGTAAATATTTGTCAAATGATGTTACTTTTATTACACTTTGATTTTCATTCTTCACCTACACTTCTTATTTTTTATTCAAAAAACATATCAAACTTAATTTTTTTTTACCTCTTTCTTCTCTTTTTCCTTCAAATCTTTTTCTTTCTTCACTTTTTTTTTCATTTCTCTCGCTCTCTCTTTCCAAATTACATATCAACTTGTTGTCGTCATTGCACCTTGTTGGATTAATTAATTATTTGCTAAACTGATTTATTCAATGATTTTATTATATTATTTATGAATCAAAATTTAAAAAGTAATAATCTAACGTTAATAAATTGTTGGTCAAATCAGTTTGAGAACAAAGGAAAGAAGGAGAAAGCTGAGGTTTCTTGGGATAATAAAAAAAAGTAAAAAAATGTATGTCGTTTTAAATGACACATCTTACATCATTTCACTTTCACAAAAAAGTAAGACTCATATCTTTAAAAACATTTCTTCTTACTCCCTCTTTTATGATTTATCTCTTTCTCTCACTTAAATTGACACAATTTTGCGTCATTTAAGATAATAGACACTTTTTCCATAAAAAAATGGAAGAAGGGCATGCATAAGATTAAAAAAAGAGAGTTTAAGGGGCATGTTTGCAAGTGTAGAAGAGATGTAGGGTTTTAGAAGTGGAAATAACATAATTGATATTTGATACCAAATTATTATTTTTTCTCAATTTTATTCACAAATTTTCATATCAAAATGATATATGATTATTACAACAACAACAAAAAAATCCATGAGAAAATTGATGATTGACTTCATTTGCAACAATCTCAAAATCTGTTGCCAATGGTGATAATTTACAAATTTTCATTGGTTGACCCAAATTCATGGTTCGGTATAGGCAGTCGATGATAATACTAAGGTTAAGTTAAGATTTTTTTATGATTGTAGCCTTTGAGCCACATTAATTTTTCAATTCTCCTTGACTGGATTCTTTCTTAAAACCCAATACTCATTGATATTAATGCCTTATGCAAAAAGAGCACAAAGTAACGAGAAGATTGCTAACACTTTTTGATGTGGGAGGGAGTATTCATGAATAGAAGTAAAACCAACTAGTTGATGGACTTCAGCAACAATGGCGCGAGCAACACAAGTAAGACGAGATAGGAAGGACAAATTCAAAGAAACACAAATCAAACAAAGAGGAAATACAGAAAAAAGCAATACACAAAAAGTGGAGGAAGAGGAAAAGGAAAACGGTCAAAATGCTACCTTTTAGTATTTTAATTGTCCAAGTGCCATTTTTAATTCATGTCAGCAAAAGCAGGTCTTGTTAACTGCATGTCACGATTAACACGACCCACTCAGAAAAAAAACGTGTCCAGGACATGCCGTCAAAATGAATAGGACTAGGCCGAAAATGAATCATTTCATTTGATGTGAAAAAAATATCACAGTGTGAGAAGATAATAATTATAAGGGGGGAAAAGTGTCTTATTTTTTTTATTTTGAAAATATTTCAATCGATTCATTGCTTCGCAACTAATTCGATTCGGGAAGGGTCCAGGATTAAGACTTTAAATTTCTCCCAAAAGTGTCTTATTTTAAATTACACATTTTGTGTCATTTCACTCTCACAAAGATGTGAGACTCATACCTTTAAAATTTTCCATCCACTTTCTTCCATTATCTATCTCTTCATTCACTTAAAATGACATACCTTTATATGCTTCAAAATGATACACATTTTTTTCTAATTATAATGGTAAATCAGCGGTTATGATTTTGTAACTAACTATTTTAATTTTTTCTATCTTCCTTTGTTACCGTTGATATCTTAATATGGTTATAATTTCACAATTACTATATATATTTTTTTGAGTTTTATTATTCTCCTTTTACATAAGATAGTTATCTTATATTGTAGAGAGAAAATGGATGAGTCCCACCATTACAAGAAAAAAAAAAGATGAGGTGCAAAAATTGAAATGAGAGAGTAAAAGAGAAATTATCTTAAGTAAAAGCAGAGTAATATTTTCCTATTTTTTTGAATTAAGAAAATCGAATCCATTGGGACATATTGGGAGCAGCACTGCATCCTTGTATCTGCTGACACGTGGCACAATCTGATGCGTTTGTCCCCTTATGTATACTTCCCTCCATTCATTTGCTCATTTTCAACCCTTTCACAATCTCTTTCTAAAACATTTCTCTCTCCTCTCACATCTCTCTTAAGCTTTCATACAAGTACTTTTTTATTCCTTTCCTATTTAATTTTGTAGTATATTAATTATTAGATAGTGTAGTATAGGATATAAACCCTAGGAGAAATATCTTCCTAGTATTATTTTTGGAAAAAGTTTAAAGCCTTAATCTTGGACCCGTCCTGAATCAGATTAGTTGCGAAGCAATGAACCGATTAGAATATTTCAAAAAAAAAAAATCATAGGAGGATGAAACATGTAGTGCATTTAGTGCAAGGGTAGTCTAGTATAGGTCATAAACCATAGGATGATGAACCTTGTAGTGTAAATTTAACCCTATGTGGTATAATGTAGTGTAGTCTAGCATATTAAATTATTTAATTTAACATGGATGAATTGTTAAATATTAAAATAAGAAATATTCAGTGTAATTAAAATTGTTTTATTAGTAATTATTGTGCAATTAATAGGTTATTATTTATTGGGACGGATATACTTACCACTATTTTAATTAGACATATAATTTTTATTATCGGATTGATTATCATTAGATACAAGATTACTTGAGGAAAGCTAGTTTCCTACACTTTGCCAGACTTAAGCACCAAGAGATTTGTATAAATAGTTGTATTTTATTTACCATTAATTTATTTTATTTTATAATATGTAATATAATTCCTTTTAGATTGATTATGCATTGGTGACAACCTTTGTGAAGCGTCGGTATCCAAAGATGCAGACATTTCACATGCCACAGGATGTGAAATGTTGTTCAATTTTTAATTTCCCTTCACAGCCATTGGCCCAAATGTTGGATCGAGATGCAAGACAAGTGCGGAAGAAAAAAAAAAGTAAAAGGGTGAAATTTGTTTATTATCTCAGATAACGATGTTTTTTTTATGAGTGCTTAACTCCTCTTATCCATGGTCCATTGTGGATGCACAGAATGTAAACATGCCTAGCCTACTATACTTTCCACAACAAAAGATATTTTTATATTTATTTGTTACATTTATCTTCTAGCTAGGCCAGCGCAATGAAATACAACACATTCTTCTTTTGCTAAAGAACGGACATAAATAGGCAACAACATAGATTTGTAAGAAAAAAACAAAAAACAAAAAATGCATTTGGGCATGCAGGCTGGCCTAGTTATTTTTTAGAATGGGCCGGGCTGTGATAAATATATATTTGAAGTAAAATTTTAGAAAATTATGGATATATTTGATTTATATTTTCAAAAATAATTTTCTAGTTTTTAAAATAAAAAAATTATTTGACAAAGGTTATTTCGTAATAATAATTTTTTTAGTTTTTAAAACTAAAATTAAAGAACACTTTTGAGATGTTCTCAAAATTTATTATTTGATTTTATCATTTGGGTGATAATTTTGTAATTATAAAGATTTATTAATGGCATTTTCATAAAAAAATTAATATATTTTTTATTTTAAATTATTTTACTGTGTTGATTTTATAATTATTTAAATTTATTAATGACACTTTTATAAAAAATTCATATTTTTCATCTTAAATTCAGTTATATTTAAAAAAATTATTGTTCTATTATTTTTAACATTTGAATTAAAAAAATTTTTGGATAATTAAAAAAATTTTAAAGAACGAAAAAGATCAAAATAAAAATATTCTACAAATGTTACTTAATTTTTAAAATTTTAGTTCAAGTGCATGAACAGTAGTTGTGAACTTAGTTTTTCCTCGAATATCAAGAAAGTAGTAGCTTATATTGACTTTATCCAATATTTTTTAAGCTGCACATTTACTCCATCTTTTATGACACCAAATCCTCTATTAATTTTCTAGCAATAATTTTTCAAATTCTTCACGGCATCCCAAGAAAAAAATTGAGTTTTGACTTCTATAGACTATTATTAGCATTTAATATTTAAATATTCAAGGAGATCTATAAAAAGGGAAATGCTATATAACCGTTGAGCAACTAATTCATTTATCCTTTAAATGACAAGTGTTATTGAGATTCCTGTATTTTCCGCTTAATCATTTTTTTTAAAATAAAAGAGCATGGAGCTCGAACATTTATAGTTTGTGGCATGGGTGGTATACTCGTATCACATCCCTTAAAAATATTTAATGTTATAAGTACCAAATTATTTCGCATACGAGCTATTAATTTTCTTGAAACATAATTTTTCCATTAATGGTTTTAATTGAAATATTCAAAGACACTTTGTGAGGTGCAAGCACTTAAAAGAGATAAACTGCATATATCATTTAGAGACAACAAGAGCTTATACATCCCTATGTTTCAGTACTTTACTCCCTCTCTTTTAACGCATAACAAGCTGACAAAAGAAAAACAAACATGCAACAGACATAAAAGAAGACTAGTTATATGCCTTCAAGAAGCAGCTTCCTGTCATTCAGGTGTGGCTTAAGTAGCCACTTATTCTCACACTAGCTGCTATATCCCTCTAGATTTACTGCTCCACATATCATTAACTTTAGCGCACTCTGCATCAAACAAATCAGATATCTTTCAAATAACCATGATAAAAGACATAGAGAATATTGGATTAAACAGATTTATTTCAAGATAAACACACACTCTAACATCAAAACAAAATGGGCCTATCAAATATCTTGAAAAGAACAATGATAAAAGACAATGAGGTTGTAGTAAATAAATTGATTTCAATATAAACGCACACATGTACACAAAGAACAATCAATTTATATTGGTATAAGTTTAAAAAAAGTTTTATCTTATTATTAATCGCTAATTTCATTTGCACCTATGATGACACAGATAATTATATTAGTTACTACTTTCTAATAAATTATAATGTAAATAAAATTAGGATTTTATATTTCTCATATTACATGATATAAGTCTTCTTATGTCATAGAGACAAAAGTCATGTGAGACCTATATATTAAAAAAAGTCATGTATGTGATTCATGTCAATACAAAAATCAAAGGGTTTTGTCTCTGAGACCTATATATTAAAAAAAGTCATGTATGTGATTCATGTCAATACAAAAATCAAAGGGTGTGTAAAAAAAATTTTAAACTCATGTTATATGAAAAATATAAAACCCATAAAATGAACGGCTAATAACAAAGGGAAATCTTTTTCTTATGTTGATGTAGACAAATTATTTTATGTTAGTGAAATAAAATAATAAGAGAGACCCACAAATGATTGGAGAAAAAAAATAAAGGTGGAACCCACATTTGTTATGTGTGGGTAGGAAGTGGGTTATCTCATGTTGAATGAGATAAATATAACCGAATAACAAATGTAAGAATTTTTAAGCTTACGCATCCCATATTCTATATACATGTATGTATAAAAATGTAAATATAAATACCTGCTGCAATCGGTAGATGGGCTGATCTGATAAGGAATGTTAACCCCACATTTCCTAGGAAGGCTAGCAGCAAGGTTTAGATTGGAATTACTATAATGCATTCCACTGACAGTGTTCTTTATGCAATTGCAAACGGCCTGGCGGTCTGGTGTGGTCCGAGCCTGGCTAAGGAGGCTCCTAACCCCATTGCAGCATCGTGCTGGCACTATTCCACCATTGAGTATATATGTAATACATGGGGTCAAGTTGTTCACTACCTGACCACATGTAATTGCTTCAGCCTTGGGACTTGAAGCACCAAGTACAAGGCACACAATTGCCATGCAAAGCAGCTTCACAAAAAGAGACTTGGCCATTACTCAATTCTAGCAAGAAAAATGATGATGATGATGATGATGATGCAAGTTGTACTCTCAACTCTTAAGGTTTTGCTTTTTATTTTATTTTTTCCCTTTTTGTAACACTAGGTTGAGGTATTTATAAAGGGAAAAAGGGCATGGGCGCATGCAACTGCGATCATGGGCTAACCATGTGCATGTGGTTATTTGGTAGTTGGGCTGAACTTAGTGTCATAATAATGGATTGTAGTAGAGCAAGTTAAATGCATATGAATCAGAAGCTGACCATAACCATGCCTAAATATTAAATGAATAAGACAACTCACTGCAGCAATATTTTTATTTGCAAGTATGACATATCACTGCTATAAGAGTAAATGATGACTAGTTGTTTTAATATTTGCATAGAAAGTTTCATCAAGCTTAGCAAAACCAAAGCTTTGTTCTCCGAATAGCTGCATATACAAGGTTTCAATTATATGCTTACACAATGTTGTAATTAATACCATTACCCCAAAGCTTTTATAATAAAAAAAAATTATACACTACTAAAAAAGTGTGAATTAGGGACGGATTTTAGAGACGGAAAATATTTTGTCTCTAATTGGGACGGATTTAGACAAGGAAAAAACAATCTGTTCTTATTTGGCACGGAATTAGCGATGAAACACATTATGTCTCTAATAGAGACGAATTTTGAGAAAGAAAAATTTATGTCCCTATTAGGGACGGAATTAGGGACAGAAAATTTTCAATTTCTGTAATCCGTCCCTAATAGGGACAGAATATTGTTCGTCCCAACTTGGGATAGAATTAGGATATTGTTTCTAAAAGTCCGTCCGTAATAGGGACGAAAAAAGTCCGTCCGTAATAGGGACGGAAAATTGAACAAGTTTTGTCCCTAATATGGAGGAAAAACAAGAAAAATAAATTGTCCCAAATTGGGACAAATTTAGGGACTAAAATTTGATTTAAGTGTTATTACTACATTATCTACATTGGATATTTCTATTAAAATCAAAATATGTGATTTATCTGGGGAGAAATATCTGAAGAGTGGTTAATCTAACTCGATGTTACTACTAGAAAAGTATGGATAAAAGACTGGAAAAAATATATTTCTAATAGGGATGGATTAAGAGGGGTGTTTGCGGTCTGGATTGGATTGGTTTTGGAAGCAAAAATCATCCAATCTAATTCCTTCGGTTTGATCATGTAATCATCCGATCCGATCCGATCCAATCCAAATTTTTTTGGTTTGAATTGGATTGGTTTTCAGTTTTTTGAAAATCCTAAAAATTGTTTCATGATTATTGTGCAAATAACATCTTTTGTATACATTGACTTTGTAATTTTATTTTTTTAAAATACAAAAGCATAAGTAAATGATAATATAGTTTTTTTTTTTTTGGAAAATGAGATATGAACATAGATGAAATTTTGTTAATAAGATGTAACTAGGTTTTTTTCTTGGGTTTAGTTGATGGGTTAATGAATCTTGGGTTTAGAAATTTTTGGACTATGATTGGGGAAAAACCCAAGTAGGTAGAGGAAAATTAATATATTGGATCGATTTTCATCTACCAATCCAAAAACCTATCCAATCCAATTAAAATTTGTGGTTTTTTTTTTGTTTTCAATTTTTTGGTTTTCGATTTTTTTGTTCGGTCATCGCGGTTTGGATCGGTTGATGAACACTTCTGCCTCGAAACGTCCTTGCATAATGGGGAACTATAGAGCCATAAAGTCTTGGCGTTTCCATACAACAATTTCTCCTTTATGTTGATAAACAGTTTGAAGGAAAAATTTCATATAAACAGTATGGGTGTCACTGAATGCAAGAAGATAAATACATGGATAAAATCTCGAGGTTGGATATCGGATCGATTCAGATGTACAATTACCAATATCAATACCTTGTATTATTTTATGTAATAAACTAGTTTTTTTTTTAAAGTGTTGTGTTTTTTTATTATATATACCTTCTAGGTTAACAATTTGACACTTTAAAAAATAATTTTATGTTTAAAATTTTAAATACTAATTATATTTTAGGAAGCCAATAATCCTCTTGGAAATCAGCAACTTTTCAAAACTTAAATCATGTGTCTATCCGTATTATATTTAAAAACAACTGAAACACTTCTTACTAAAAAAAACAGCTGAAATAAAAAATAAAATAAAATTGTGAGTTTTTATTTTATCTTTTTATCAGAATATTCCTAAAATATTATTGTGAGACTAAATTCTCAAAAATTGTCACAATTAGCCGGCCTTCCATACAAAAAGTTTGAATTTGTTTAAGGGATTAATATTGCAGGAAATAATTTCATCTCTTACACACATAAAAATTTGTAGAACCCATATTATTATTTTCTCTCTTTTCATTTCACATGAGGCCATACACTTTTATGTGTTTGTTAGAGGTATAATATCTCCTACAATATGAAAAATATTGATTTCTTTATTTAATTAATATAAATAATAAGGTAAAAAAAATAGGAGATACAATTAATATAAAATATCTTAACGTTGCGTTCTCATGTCACTGGACTAAATATATAACGCAATTAGTTAAAAAAAAAAATATAAATAAACTTAGAAAATCTTAAGCCTCAATAGTTATTCATCGTCTCAAATCCAAATTATTAAATAAAAAATTATAAGAGAAACTCGAGATCTACAATAATATTAGGCCTCCACCAGCAGGGGTGTTGTGTCAGGAGGACATACATCAACTAAATATAAAGTAGGAGTCGTCTCAACAAAGAATTTTATAAAATAAATAAATTAAAAAGTAAGTTATAAGGATATTTTTGAATAGGTATAAATATCAATTCACAATTATTGTTCTTAATTAGAAATAATTGTATTTACCCAATGGGTGCAGCTCAGTTGGTAACTTGGCGTTGAGTTAGTGGGGATGGACATGTGTTCGATTCCTGCTGAATGCATTCTTGGGGAGGGGGCTGAACCTTTAGCCATCACTGATCCCCCTCACTCCGGATTAGTCTCGTAGCCGGCTCAAAGAGTCAAGCTCGTGGGGATACCGGAAGGAGCCAACTCGCCTCAAAGAGGTAATTAGGGTTGAGTAACTCCAAAAAAAGAAATAATTGTATTTAGTGAAACAAGGATTTCTTGTTTTCAAAATAATCGCGGCATGAAACCGACAGGAGTGGTTTAATGATTTTGATTAATTTGCGTCATATTATAAGTTGGTACCCCAGGACAACAATAATTACTGCCCGTTAGGTTGGAGCCAAAAGCATGGTTAGAGGCCACCAAACTTAGTTTGTGTAGGATCAGTTGTTTGCTTTAAATTTTGTAGTGAGTAGAATTAATTTTGAAGAAATTATTTTTATTTTTATTTCTATTTTTACATTGTTTGATGAGTAGAATTGAGTCTTGGTCAAAAATATTTTAAAAGCATATCTATATTTACACTTTGAAATTGATTTTAATTTACTATCACAATAAAAAATAATTCTTCCGATCGAATTCACTTTGAAAATTTCATTCTCCAACACAAATTGAATATTTTAACATTAATTTTTTTAAAGTCGATTTTTTCTACTTCAGATCTTTTTAATTCAATTATATTAACGTCTAAAATAAACTTACCCTTTATTAGACCTCAAATTCAATTTCTCTCAATGCACAATAAAATAAAATAAAATAAAATCAGTTGAGCATACATGATCCGCTTAGCAACAGAAAGAAAAGGTTGTGACTAGGCAATCATACACAATGCCCTGAATATTTTTTACTAGATTGGGGTATTTACAAACTAAATTCCAACTTGGACTTCTGTTTTAACATATTATTAATTTGAAAAATAATTATCTCATGCAATAGAGACAAAGTAGTAGAGTCCACTATTTTCTTTTTCTTTTTTGAAAAAGTAGTGGACTCCACTATCTTGTCTCTGTTGCATGAGATATAATTATCTCATGCAACATGAGATTAATAGATCCTTATTTATTAATTTAGGGCTAATTTTATCAAAAAGTGGCAACCGCATGTAGACATGCATCATTATTATAAAAAAATGTTTTATAGATCCATTCAACATGTGGCACACCCTACCCCAAACCCCTTACCCTGCCAAGCCATGTCTACGTGCTCAAATATTTTCCCCTCCCATACTCTCTCCCCCGTTCCCTTTATGCATTAGGGTTTATTTTAAATTTTTTACAAATCCACAAGTCTTTCTAGGAATTTAGATTGCTAGGTATCTCTTTTCGGTTCTCTGTGATTAGACATCTAGAATTTTTAACCTCAGTAGGCACATTTTAAAATTTGTGATTAACAACCCTTTTGGAAGAAATTGATCAAAGTATATAACATTGGGTACGATACGCTATTTAAATCAAAGTCCTGACCAGAAGGCATGCATATAGCGTACCCTTTTTCAATTTATTCAATCAAAGAATATATAATGTATTATTTTTTTTTTTTGTATAGATATATATAATGTATTATTAGTACACTCCGAAGCATCCGTACAACTTGAAGTGTAAACCCTGAAGGTTGCTCAGTTACATGCTGCAAAACAAGTAGAAATCAACAAGTGAATTTTAGATTAACAATCTTCTATCTATATTTAAAATATGTGTTCACATGTAAAAAGAAAAAAAAAACAGGTAAAATAAAAGTGAATGTATCTATATATGTAGGCAATAATCAGCACATCACTTTTATTTTATATAAAGAATTAATTTAATCCAAAAATTTAAACTGCTGATTAAAAATCATTAGTTATTTTATATTATAATTCTCTTATACACTCTTTTACATAAGAATCCTTTAGGTTTAAAGCGTGAATATTGCACATATCCATTATTTTTTATTCTATCATGTGCTGACTTAATTTCATTAAAGAGTGATGACGGTGAAAATCGAATTCGTGACCTCTCCGTCGTCACACGAGAATCTGATAGCGTTTAAAGAATCAATTCAACCAAAAAAACTTATAGTATTAAATGAACACTCATAAATAATTAAAATAAAATACCTCTCACAGTCCACGGTATGGTTGACTTCTAAAGAGGTGCGAATTCCACACTTTTCAGGAACACTTGCAAGCGCTGTAACGTTAAGGTTAGGGATTTTTTGAGCAGCTTCTTTGATGCACCGGCAAGCCATTTGACGATCTTGCCTAGATTGGACGGCCTCGTTGTTGAGGGTCATAGCTGCATAGCAGCATTTCTCTGGAACCCTGTCTCCACCATTTCTCACGTAGCAATCACATGCTTCCATAAGTGGTTTCACATCACAGCATGTTAATGTAGCATTGGTTAGTAAGGGTGCACTCAATGCCATGCATATGATTAGAGCCATGCATGTGGCTTTGATAAAAACTGAGCTAGCCATCGTAGAAGGGTTCTACAACAAATTACGTACCCTGAAGATGACTAGCGAATTTAATTGCAAACCCTGGTTTTGAAAGTAATTGGTTATAAATTCTTAAGGGATGTTGTGTTCCGCTGAATGCTATATATATATATATATATATATATATATATATATATATATATATATATATATATATATATATATATATGCAGATTAGTTTTGGCTCGTGGAAATCGCGTATGTTAACTAGGATTTCGGGAAACCATAGCTATTGGTGGCTGATATGGCTCATTTGGTGTTTCTTCTGCCTATTTTTGGAATGCCATATCTGTATAAAAAAATAACAACAACAACAAAATTAAAATATTGTGCTGTTTACAGATAATAGTGAAAGTAAATTAGAACAATTATATTTAATGAGGGATATTCTTTTTGAGTTGATTTCTCTACTCTCATTTTTCTTCCCTTTCATTCCTAAAATTAATGGAAGGACATAAGTTAAAGGGTTAAATGATTCTTCTATTACGGGAGATTCATTGTCTTACACCAAGAGAAAAAAAAAATATGTGGGGCTCACATATAAAGAAAAGCAAGAACGAACTCAATGGGTGCAGTTCAGTTGGTAACTTGGCGCTGTGTTAGTGGGATTGGATATGTGTTCGATTCTCGCTGAATGCATTCTTGAGGAGGGGGCTGAACCTTTAGCCATCATTGTTCCCCGCACTCCGGATTAATCCTATAGTCGGCTCAAAGAGTCGAAGCTCGTGGGGATACCGGAGGGAGCCAACTCGTCTCAAAGAGATAATTAGGGTCGGGTAACTCCAACAAAAAAAAAAGCAAGAACGCAAATTTCAACGAGTCAGCAAGAGAAAATTGCTGGAGAGTACTCATTTAACCCTTTGTTAAAATATTGACTTGTATAAGACTTTGCAAATTGAGTCAAGTGACAACTCAATGCATACATCATGCAAAAACATGGACATTCAGCAACGAATATTTCATCCTCAAAACAATATTTTCCTTTTTCAATTCAATACCAAGTTTTCCACCGGTAACTAACCAATGGCCAGGAGGATCTTGGGGCCCTTTGCTCATTACAGACAAGTCAACATACTTCAATAACTTGTCCCTGTTATGTTTTCTCTAGAACCAAAAGCTTGAATCATCAGGATTGTAAGTGTTCCCAGCAGTCACAATTAGAAGTAACTACGCATGCCTAGACACCTAGCTAGAATACAGGAGCTTCAAGTACAACACCGTGATCCAAAATCCCACACTCCAAGCTATGCCGCCAAACTTCATAGACACCATAATTTTGCCACTCATGTGGTCCTACCCAATTCGAATTGGACTAGTTGAGTAATCGATGAATCAAGAGATAATATCAAAAAGAAAAAAGAAAGAAAGAAGTACCCTGTAAATGTTTAAGGATTCCCAATTGCTGCAGAGCACACATGAGAAGAATTCTTCCACCAAACAGGCTCAAATCACCGGCTATCTTGTTCCTCGGGTCCCAGCCACTTGGGAGCACCAATAGCTACATGGGTGTCCCAATATGGCTGCATGGGACTAATCATATAAATTCAATCACCAAACATAAATGTTGGGTTTGCTCTTTTACTAAAGTCCAAATGAGCTATTATTATGAGAAGAGCTCAAGAAACCTAGAGCCCAATGAGTTAGGGTTTCTTGGAACCCATATAAATAGTACCACTTAAGTCATCACCCTCAGAGATTTTTTAGAGAGAAAAGAGGCAACTCAAATCTGATTTGTGCCCACACACTTCCCCTTCCTCCTCGAGAGATAGCTTGGAAGGTTTACCTCAACAGTTCGTGAGTTCGTGCTGTGACGCAAAGGGCTCAAGCGTGAGGAACAACATCATCTCACATCTGCGCCATTAAAGAGATAAATGATAAAACTATGATGATCCATATACATCCAAATCACAATCGTCTCATACGCTTCCGCAGATGCAATTGCTCCTACAATTGGTATCAGAGCTGGATTGTGTTTTTTGGATATGGATCTAGTTTTAATTTTACGTTTATCATGTAATTTGTTTTGCTTCATAAAATATAGCACCTAGGATTCTATATTTGTTATTCAAATATTTGCATGAGTATTCTTTTCATTAAAAATCTATTCTTTATATGATTTTGGCTTTAATCCATGGTAGAAATTTCCTTGTATTTTCTTAGATTGTAACAAGGAGGCTAATCCCATATGATTAGGTTTCCTCCTTGATTTTTTATTTCAATTTGTATTCCAAAATTGTAATAAAGATTATCAAGAAGATGAGCAAAGAAGCGCGTTCGTCACTGTTTTGACACATTCGTAGTGGCCGATTTCAAAAACCAACCACATCAGATGAAAGAGGACAGAAAGAAGAGAAGAACGGTGGTCGGATAACCGCCAGATTCTGCCAGACGCGCCACCACGCGCCGCCGAAAGTGGCTGCGCGTGGGTCGCACTCGCCGGAACAAATTTGGCGCGTGGAGTGTCCAATTGGGCTGGTTCCGGCGACGGCGAATTTGTCTCTTCAAGGCGGTCCTTCCCCTGGAGTTTCGTGCTGAGATGAGTTCGGGTGACGGCGCAGTGAACGTAGGGTTCCGGTATGTTGACTTTGGGTAATTAACATCAAGACAAATAATCGTTATGGAAATTATTTTGATTTCACATTATCCTCGTAATTGATAATTATTATGATTGTGGCAATCTAGATTGATAATTAAATCAGCTATTTGGATGATTTAAAATCTAGAAAAATAATTAAGAAAATTTCCTAAGAGAATTCTTTTATTTTGCGAGTAGTTTGTGGGTCTACTAAAATTGTCATGTGTTAAACACACGCTGCATACCACAATCATGTATCATGATTGTGTGAAGCACACACGGCCTATCATGACCGGATTTTAGGACCTTAATGATTTCAAAATTCAGATAAGCTATGATGCACGTTCATCGGCGCTCTTGCTAACATAGTTTTTGAAATCAAACAAAGGATACACTCAATTAAATAATTCTTTGAAATTGGAAAAATTGCTTATGTTGAATGAAAGGAAATTCAAGTTAAGAAATTAATTTAACCTTCAAGCGCATTATAGGCCTATTAATAAAATAATCATGTGAAGTCCTATTGAATAAGCATGATTAGATTTTATTAGATTGGACCTAAATAATTATGAGAGGAGATTTAAAAAAATTAATTTAACCTCCAGGCGCATTGTGGGCCTATCAATAAAATAATCATGTGAGGCCCCAACAGATAAGCATGATTGGATTTTATTGGGCCTTAATAATTTCAAAATTTTAATAAAGTATTGTACAGCCCAACGTTGACAATACTAAGTTATTAAAGATAATTTTGAAATTAAACAATAAATTCAATAGAGTTTATAAAAATTCTAAAATAAAAATATTGAATGGGTGAAGATTTTAAATTAAGTATTTAATTTTAAAACCTGCGGGCTCCATTTGTGGGTCCATTAATAAAATGGTCATGTGAAGCCCCGTCGGATAAGTATGATCAGATTTTATTTGATTGGACCTTAATAGTTTCAAAATTTTAGTTAGATATTGTACGACCCGTCGTCGTCAATGTTAAGAAACTAAAGACAATTTTGAAATTAAACAATGGTTAATTACATTCAAATTTGGTAAAGTTATTAACCCTCCCGTCGAGGCTCTGATAATGGCACCGAAGGCCCAAATAATAATTTTAGTTTTTACAAGTATCTTGCCCGTCGTAAGCCTTGTAAAGATAAACTAAAGGATTGTTAACAATAAACAAGAGTAGTTATGAGAATCTACTTGTACTTCGTTTGGTTATTGCATTATTTGTTTGTAATTGTGTACTTTATATGTTTTTCAGAAAATGACTTCCTTCGATCCTTTAGCCATGATTTTGAGACAAAAACCTCTAGATGGTACAAACTAGAAAGAATGGAAAAGGAACCTTGATATTGTTCTTAAACATGAAAAGCTGAAATGTGTCCTTACCGTACCAAAGTCATAGCAACCTGTAGAGAACGCATCTAAGGAAACTAAGATGCATTTCTCAGAATGGGAGAGGGCAGATATGGTAGTTCACTGCTATATCATTGTCAGTCTTTCCAAATACTTGCAGAAGCAAGTGTACATGATTAAGAGTGGAGTAGAAATGCTTCAGACTCTTAATGACATGTTTGCTGCGTGTAGCAGTTTTGCTAGACAGAATGCAGTCAGTGCAGGTTTTGGTAAGAGTCTTGTTAAAACCAAAGAAAAACCAAAAGTGGTAACAAGGACAAAATGACTTGGTTATCAGTTGTCAAACCAGTTGCAATGAAGAAGCCGAAAGGCAAGTGCTTCAAGTGCGGACTGAAGGGACACTAGATGAAAGATTGCCCAGAGTTGATGAAAAGAAAAAGGTAAGGGTAATTTAAAAGGCTAAATTAGTGGATGAATCTATGATTCAGGAACCACTAACTATGTTTGTTGCTCTTTGTAGTGGTTCAAGCATAGAGAGCCTATTACCATTGGACAAAGATATTTTAAGCTTGAAGATGGGGAGCTTGTGTCTGCATTAGCAGTAGAACAAGTTATTTTATCTTTTGAAATTTATTACTTTAGTTTTGGATGACTGTTTAATTATTCCGAATTTGAAGAGGAATTTTATTTCTGTTAGTTGTTTTGTGGAAACATGGTTTAACAGTACAATTTAATTCCTCAGTTTCAATAAGAAGTTCATCTTCTTTTATTTCGATATATTAAATTGTCTTTATTACTTGAGTTATATGTCCTATTTAATTTATTATGTTGAATGGAAAGGATGATGAACAAGAATTTTCACCAAAGAAATAAAAGTTTCAAATGAAACATAACTTTGACCTTTGTGATTGAGTCACATTACCTCAAGTAGGAAACATATTTTAGTTAAAAGAGGGACTGAAAGTTCAAGAATCTTTTAACTAAAAGCTACATATTAGTCCTATTTGGAAGGTAAAATGGCCAAGCAATCCTACAAGGGGCCAAAAATTGC